GTATCAATGTGGATTTCACAAGTTTCAAAATCTCCCCTCCCCCTACCACATCCCAAAACCAGTCCAGCTCGTCCCTGCCTCCCTAACCTGTTCTTCCTCCCACCTATCCCCTCATCCCACCTCAAGCCGCACCTCCATCTCCTACCGACCAACCTCATCCCGCCCCCTTGACCTGTCCGTCCTCCCTGGACTGACCTATCCCCTTCCTAACTCCCTACCTACACTCACCTTTCCTGGCTCCATCCCCGCCTCTTCGACCTGTTTGTTTCCTCTCCACCTATCCTCTCCTCTATCCTTCTTCTATCCGCCTCCCACTCTCTCCCTATTTATTTCAAAACCCCCTTCCCCTCCCCCTTTTCTGATGAAGGGTCTAGGCCTGAAACGTCAGCCTCTCTGCTCCTATGATGCTGCTTGGCCTGCTGTGTTCATCCAGCCCTGCACCTTGTTGTCTCGGATTCTCCAGCATCTGCAGTTCCTACTATCTCTAAAGCAGTTTTCTTCAGGTTTAAAGTGGCTTTTACTGCAGAGAATGGAACTATTTCCAATGCTGGTGGAGTTCTGATCGCTTTTCTGTATCTTGTTTGCTGTTCAAACTGTTAATCTACAGCCACTTTTTAACCACTGCTCAAAAAGGCAGCTGTATAAATGGTGCTTCTGATGAATGCCAAGTTATTTGTGTTTAAAAAGTACAGCAATTGAAAAGCAATCCTTGCTTTTAAAATAGTTATTTTCTGACTTCAGACCACAATTAGAGATACCATGAAAAAATAAAAAGATGTGGCCTTTTCACTCTGATCAATTCTGCTGCTGGTGAATGGATCACAGTCCTCCCACAACCAGCACCAAGCTTTTGGCATTAAGCATTTGAACAGGAGCATAAGTGCAGATTAGATGCATACTTAACGTCTTTTTCCCAAGCCACTGGTGGCTTAACTCCAGTGGATTTTGGAACAAAAGTTTTATAATGCCATCAATAATGTTGTTACAAAATGTCTTAACAAATTACTGTCATTTTGCAATGTAATATCTGTTCTTAAAATCTTCTATCCAGGATAAAGGGTGGAAAGGCTATTCGTCTAAACATAATTGGTGAGTAATAAAACTGTAGGTTGGGGTTGAAAATGGAAGATAATTGTAAAATTTGAAGTTGAGGAATGTTTGGAACTTCAGCTTCTTCGTGACAGTAAAGTGAGATTTATGTTGTACAATGTCAAAGTTACTCATGTTGCACAATTCAATATTTAGCAGATCTGTACATTTTTATTTGCAGGTGAATATTTGCATACTCTTGTGCTTTCATGTGTACAAATTTCAAACCTTGTTCTCCAGATTCTTGTCTGAAATAATGGTACCAGTAAAAACTTTACTCTTGCCGTTGTACTGAACGTAGTGCTGAATTCATGTTCCAGTAGCTGGTTCTTCTCAAAGTTAATGCATTAACCTAACTTCTATAGATGTCTTACCAATTTTTAAGATTCAGTGCTAAATTAAATCTTTCAGAAAACAGTTAGATGATTATCTCATTAGGAATATGATTGGTGTAATTAGCGTCTAATGAGGCAGATGGGCAATTAAATAGCTCATGACGAATTGAGAGAATTGGGTATTATTTTGAGGAAGTTGCATCTCTTGGCAAGCTTCCTCTAATAGCAGAAATCAGAATTGGTTCAGTCTCATGCTTGGATCCAGTCTCATGCTTGGATCCAATTTTATTTTTGTAAGAATATTTTAATACTTGTTGAGACCAATTATATAGTTCTCCTTATCCCTAACTCTCTGCCTTGTAACACTTTAAATGAGTTGAGAAGTAGTCATGATGAGAATATTAATTATTTTTGACTTAATGAATTAACATCTTTTGCAGGCCAAATGGTCATTTCCCTTTTCAGTTTTTCTTGTGTTCCCAATTAGTGCACTGGCATTAAGATAGATATTTCCTTACATTGAAGTACGTTTTTGCACAGTTCAAGAGCTTCCTAATCTGCCTAGCTTTCAAAACACATGATGCTGGAGTTTTACTTCTAACAATGAATAGTTTATCCTGCTATAACATTCCTGGATGCTAGTGTGAGTTTGGTGGCTGGGGAAAGGGTTGGGGGGTTGGTGAGGGTGGGTGGTTGTGATCTGTTATGCTAGCATTTTCTATGATAGTCATTGCTAAATTATTTTTGCTTATTTCCATAAACAATTGATGGAGATGATATACTATATTCAAATGTGTGCTAAAGTTCTGATATCGTTTTACAAATTCATCTGCTTTCGTAACTGGAAAAACTGTTTTTTGATACAGGTGAAAAGCTGTTGTGGTTTCAAAGCAATCTAGACCCTAACAAGATTGAGTACAGTAAGCAAGAAGCCTGCGAGATAATAGAAAAGTAAGAGAGTTTGGATAATTTTCAAAACGTTACTTCCTTTGCTCGAAGTGAAGTTGGAACTGAATGGTGCAGCGCATTAACACACCTTTGTTCCACAAGATGCCACACAAATCATTTACGTACTTCCTACTTTCTTTGATTCTTATCATTTTGCCTAAAAGTAGATGCTACTTTTATTGACAACTGCTTTACTTTGCCAAAAAATGCCTGAAATGGAAAACCAAAATGGTAGCAATTGAAATGTTAACAAAACCCCGAACTTTAAACAGAGAAGACGTTGACTTGTACATTGTGGGTGGAAACCCTAGCTTGTTTTGGTTATAGAGATCATAACGGAAAAGACTTGCCCATCCCTGAACTAGAAAAAGAAATCTTGATTGTGAGAACAAGCAGTTAGCGTAGAGAGGCAGAGAGTGAGAGAGAGAGAGTTAGAGTTTGCCAAGGGCTGTCTGCCCAAAGCCAGAACAAGAAGCATAGCGATGTTTAAGAATCAGGGTATCCTGATTTTTAAAGCACTGGGCACAAATGCAGCATTCCTAAGTTTGCACAGAGGAGTCCACAGTGTGAGGTTTTGAACAAAAGCTGGTACATTGCTTAACCAAGAGCTCATCGAATAACCTCAATAAAATTTTGAATCTTGGTGAAAAGCCAAAACAGTCAGGAGAAATTAAAGTGAATTCTGGATAGCTGAAACATACTTGATTGAATTACAAAAGAAGTGAATATACTCGTGAGTCTTAGTAGGTCTAAGTGTTGGGTTAATTCTTGTTTTGCTTTTTTTTTATATGCAACAAAGTTTATTTTTGTTTAGAAATGGTATCTTCCATGATTTATTTTAGTTAATTATTGGCTGTTTGAATTTCAGTTTCAACAGTAATAGCCTTCACAGAGATTTTAATAATATGTTGGTAACATTGGAGATGGTAATTTTTATTTAATTTTAAAATGCAGGCCACTATGCTTTCTGAGTTTTAACACAGATTTTGTAGTCCGAGATGGAGTGGTGCTTGCTCTTTAGTACACTTAGAAACTCCCTTTTGGTAGACTTTTGACTGAAGAGATGAAAAGGAAGTATTACAAATACTGCAAACCTGAGGTAAAAGCAACATGTGTAAAGGGAATGACTGACTGTTAACATTTGGCCGGTTATATAATCAGTTCTGGTGAAAGTGGGGCAATACCCTTGTCCAATGACTATGTACCATTCATAAGCATGCCTTTTTAGGGAGTCACCAAAAGGGTTTAGAAACAATATCAGAAATTGCTGGAAAAACATTGAGTATAAAAGTTGGGATGTAAATTTGCAGCTGGACAGACATTGGTGAGGCCACCTTTAGATCATAGATCGTAGAATCCTTAGTGTGGAAACAGGCCCTTCGGCCCAACAAGTCCACAATGACACTCGAGCATCCCACCCAGATCCATCCATCTAATCTACATATCCCTGAACACTGGGCAATTTAGCATGGCCAATCCACCTAGCCTGTATATCTTTGGATTGTGGGAGGAAACCCACGCAGACACGGGGATAATGTGCAAACTCCATACAGACAGTCGCCCGAGGGTGGAATCGAACCTGGGTCCCTGGTGCTGTGAGGCAGCAGTGCTAACCACTGAGCCACCGTGCCAAATACTGTGTTCAATTATACTCTTCCTGCTATATCAAAGATGTTGTTAGACTTACAACTCAGAAAATATTTATGAGCATGTTGCTGGGATTGGAGGATTTGAGCTATGGGGAGAGGCTGAATAGGCAGGGGCTATTTTCCCTGGAGTATCGGATGCTGAGGGGTGATCTTTCAGAGGTTTATAAAAACATGAGAGGCATGGGTAGGGTGAATAACCAAGATCTTTTTTCCAAGGTGAGCGTTCAAAACTAGAAGGCACAGGTTTAAGATGATAGGAGAAAGATTTAAAAGGTGCCTGAGGGGCAGTGTTTTCATGTAGAGGGTGGTCTGTGCATGGAACGAGCTGCCAGAGGAGGTGGTGGAGGTGGGTACAATTACAACATTTAAAAGGAATGTGGTGGGTGCACGAATAGGAAAGGTTTGGAGGGATATGGGCTAAATGCTGGCAAATGGGATTGGATCAGTTTAAGATATCTGGTTGGTGCGGACAAGTTGGACTGAAGGGTCTGTTTCTGTGCTGCATAATTCTAAGACCTTATAACTCAGCAAGTCTGGCAGCACCTGTGGAAAGAAAGCAGAGTTAATGTTTCGGGTCCAGTGACCCTTCTTCAGAAGCTTCTAAACTTTGTTTTTCCAGCAATTTCTGATTTTGTTCCTGATTTCCAACACTCGCTGTTCTTTGGTTTTTTTGACTAAAAGGGTTCAGGTCAGTTTAAAACAGTGACCTGAATTTTGTGTTGATGATAATGGTGAGACTCATAATGCTAACTGTCATTTTGGAATAAATCAGACAGGATTTTGCACATGCAAAATCTAGATGGACCCCACTTCTTGGTTGCCATAAACTGTTAAGGCTGGTACATACATCAATAAGTGAATCCTTAATGTGATAAATTACAATAACCGTGTTAGAGATTTAACTTCATTAGTTATTATTTAGTATTGGGAATTTTAAAAAATGCTTTTGTGTTTTCTGCCAATCTTATTCTTCTTAATGACCATTTTCTCAATCTTCTGCTTTATGTAAATGCTTTAAATCTAGTTTTCTCATTCTACTTTATGCTTCCTGCTTTAATTGACAGACTGTCTGAATGTTGGGTTGGAACTGTTGCAATTCAAGGCCCCAGGATATTAATCTGAACACAGGTGGCTCTAGTGGAGTGAAGGGGTTCTGAAACTCCAATCATGGTCATGGGGAGTAGTCGGACAGTAGATCACAATTGAGAAGAATGATGGCAGTTGTTGATGTTTGACTGTGGATTGAGGGGAAGCAGGCAGATTACTGTCTGCCTCCTGGCCAAAAAAGAATTGCTGTAAAGGCATCTGCTGGTTAGATTTGGCCATTCTCACCTGCTGAGATTTCCAAGTCCAGGGAAAACCAGCTAAAGTGTGCACACGTAGAATCAAGCAGTTTCATTAAAATATTTACATGGCCAGCCCATCTTCCATGAGCAGATGACTTGTCTGCTCCAAGTTCTACTTCTGTCAAAACTGGAAATTTGTTGGTTCAATTTGGCTTTGGTTCCTGTTTCAAATTTCATGATTTTTAACTTCCCACCTGAACCATTTATTTGTGGCTTAAAATCCCCCTTCGTGGAAGAGCCTCAGCGGTGCTTGAACTACTTCAAATACCCTGTAGAAGGTGCCTTGCTTGATCAGGCACCAGAGTAGAACAAAAGTTCAAAAGCCTGCTGAAACTTTTTGGTGGCTGTCAGTACAATGGAATGATAAGGCTAATTCTGCAGCATTTATTGTGACATATGATTTTTCATCAGATCTGACTTATATCCTACTCCAGGTATTTGCACAGGTTCGATTCTGAGCTAGAACAAATTGAATTGACAAATAGTATCAAAGACAGACAAGGAAGACAGCATGAAGCTCGGGAAGCCATTCTCAAACACAGCATTGAACGTGAGAGAATTTTGTATGAAGAAAATGGAATAGGTATGAGAACTTAATTTGTTGCATTACCAGTCCTCTCCTATGAAAGATTCTTAAAGGATTGATATTTGGTAAGTGTTTCATTGAAGGTACGTTGTGCTCCAAAGTTCGTTGGAGTGTGGGTTTTTGAAGGTGACCATAAGGGCAAAAGTGATTTTCATTTTTATCTCTAATTATGTTGTGCCTTAATTTCACGAAGTTCGGAACAGGGGTAGGTTAAGTCAGTCAGCTTCTTGACTATGTCCAATCTTCTTCTAAATCATAGCTGCTCTGGACCTCAACTTCATTAATTTTCCTCCATAATCCTTGATACTACCATCAAAGGACAAAAAAAACACTTTTTAAAAACCCAGGCGAGGGTGTTTTGTCCTGCTCAGTCTTCAGCACTCCAGCCAATATGCTATAAGGGCCTTTCACTTTTGCAATATTCAGTGTACCAAAATGCTTTGAGTGTCAAATGAGTGAACCAAAATTGCTGGGTTTTTGGAATGATGTCAAACAGGATCATTTGTTTGGATTTTTGGCTGCAGAGGTTTACAATCCCTTTAACATTGTCTTGTGCACTTGCTTGCCTATAGTGAATGAGGTGTCCTCCTTAGTACCTTTTCATGCATCATTGGATGTGGTAGGGGTATTGAGTTTGGGTTTACTCCATTGGCTTTGGAATGCTTGGCTTTGTTTGCCGTTTGGTTTCATAGTTTGCACTTGAGAGCCATTTCTTGTACCTTCACCAGATTGGTGCATTATTCAAAACTAAGCCCTTCTTGCAATATGCTATAAATGAGCTGAATTGGTGTGAGATCTTCTGGAGTGAGGGATGATCTTGATCACAGGTTAATAAATATTGTGAAAGTTTGCAATTCTGCCTGCCCAGAGTATGTCTCAGGACTCCAGTTTCAGGTTGTCAGATTTTTCCATTTAGCATGCTGTTGGTTGCACATTACGCAATGGACAGTGTCCTGACAGTGAACACTTTGTCTTCACAATTAAAGTTGTCAGTATCAGGTCATTTGGCATCTTTTATTAACTTGCAGAGAAGTGTGGTGAATTTCTCATCAGGAAGTGGCAAGTTGCCAATTAAGGAGGATTATTGCTTGTTACTTGTTGCAAGTCATCTCAATCGTATTCAGCTTCCAATCTTAGCAAACACACTAAAACAGCTAAGGGTCAACGGTTTTTGATGTAGAAGTCAGAGTGGGTACCTAATGACTTCAAGTAGCCATTGGTTGCAATCAGTCCCCATTTTGGCTGTCATGATCCACGTCCGGAATAAGGTGGGTGAACTTGCAGCATGGGTTGGTACCTGGGACTTCGATGTTGTGGCCATTTCGGAGACACGGATAGAGCAGGGACAGGAATGGTTGTTGCAGGTTCCGGGGTTTAGATGTTTCAGTAAGATCAGGGAAGGTGGTAAAAGGGGGGGAGGTGTGGCATTGTTAGTCAAGGACAGTATTACGGTGGCAGAAAGGACGTTTGATGGCAACTCGTCTACTGACGTAGTATGGGCTGAGGTTAGAACCAGGAAAGAAGAGGTCACCCTGTTGGGAGTTTTCTATAGGCCTCCGAAAAGTTCCAGAGATGTAGAGGAAAAGATTGCAAAGATGATTCTGGATAGGAGCGAAAGTAACAGGGTAGTTGTTATGGCGGACTTTAACTTTCCAAATATTGACTGGAAACGCTATAGTTCGAGTACTTCAGATGGGTCAGTTTTTGTCCAATGTGTGCAGGAGGGTTTCCTGACACAGTATGTAGATAGGCCAACAAGAGGCGAGGCCACATTGGATTTGGTACTGGGTAATGAACCAGGCCAGGTGTTAGATTTGGAGGTAGGAGAGCACTTTGGTGATAGTGACCACAATTCGGTTACGTTTACTTTAGCGATGGAAAGGGATCGGTATATAAAGCAGGGCAAGAGTTATAGCTGGGGGAAAGGCAATTATGAGGCAAGATTTAGGATGCATAGGATGGAGAAGGAAACTGCAGGGGCTGGGCACAATTGAAATGTGGAGCTTGTTCAAGGAACAGCTACTGCGTGTCCTTGAGAAGTATGTACCTGTCAGGCAGGGAGGAAGTGGTCGAGCGAGGGAACCGTGGTTTACTAAAGAAGTTGAATCTCTTGTCAAGAGGAAGAAGGAGGCTTATGTAGAGATGAGGCGTGAAGGCTCAGTGAGGGCGCTTGAGAGTTACAAGTTCGCCAGGAAGGACCTAAAGAGAGAGCTAAGAAGAGCCAGGAGGGGACATGAGAAGTCTTTAGCAGGTAGGATCAAGGAAAACCCTAAAGCTTTCTATAGGTATGTCAGGAATAAAAGAATGACTAGAGTAAGATTGGGGCCGGTCAAGGACAGTAGTGGGAAGTTGTGCGTGGAGTCCGAAGAGATAGGAGAGGTACTAAATGAATATTTTTCGTCAGTATTCACACAGGAAAAATGACAATGTAGTCGAGGAGAATACTGAGATACAGTCTATTAGACTAGACGGGATTGAGGTTCATAAGGAGGAGGTGTTAGCAATTCTGGAAGGTGTGAAAATAGATAAGTCCCCTGGGCCGGATGGGATTTATCCTAGGATTCTCTGGGAAGCTAGAGAGGAGATTGCAGAGCCTTTGGCTTTGATCTTTGTGTCGTCATTGTCTTCAGGAATAGTGCCAGAAGACTGGAGACTAGCAAATGTTGTCCCCTTGTTCAAGAAGGGGAGTAGAGACAACCCTGTTAATTATAGACCAGTGAGCCTTACTTCGGTTGTGGGTAAAGTATTGGAAAGGATTATAAGAGATAGGATTTATAATCATCCAGAAAGGAATAATTTGATTAGGGATAGTCAACACGGTTTTGTGAAGGGTAGGTCGTGCCTCACAAACCTTATTGAGTTCTTCGAGAAGGTGACCAAACAGGTGGATGAGGGTAAAGCGGTTGATGTGGTGTATTTGGATTTCAGTAAAGCGTTTGATAAGGTTCCCCATGGTAGGCTATTGCAGAAAATACGGAGGCATGGGATTGAGGGTGATTTAGCGGTTTGGATCAGAAATTGGCTCGCTGTAAGAAGACAGAGGGTGGTGGTTGATGGGAAATGTTCATCCTGGAGTTCAGTTACTAGTGGTGTACCTCAAGGATCTGTTTTGGGGCCACTGCTGTTTGTCATTTTTATAAATGACCTGGATGAGGGCGTAGAAGGATGGGTTAGTAAATTTGCGGATGACACCAAAGTCGGTGGAGTTGTGGATAGTGCGGAAGGATGTTGCAGGTTACAGAGGGACATAGATAAGCTGCAGAGCTGGGCTGAGAGGTGGCAAATGGAGTTTAATGTGGAAAAGTGTGAGGTGATTCACTTTGGAAGGAGTAACAGGAATACAGAGTACTGGGCTAATGGTAAGATTCTTGGTAGTGTGGATGAGCAGAAAGATCTCGGTGTCCATGTGCATAGATCACTGAAAGTTGCCAGCCAGGTTGATAGCGTTGTTAAGAAGGCGTACAGTATGTTAGGTTTTATTGGTAGAGGGATTGAGTTTCGGAGCCATGAGGTCATGTTGCAGCTGTACAAAACTCTGGTGCGGCCGCACTTGGAGTATTGCGTACAGTTCTGGTCACCGCATTATAGGAAGGATGTGGAAGCATTGGAAAGGGTGCAGAGGAGATTTACCAGGATGTTGCCTGGTATGGAGGGAAGGTCTTATGAGGAAAGGCTGAGGGTTTTGAGGCTGTTTTCGTTAGAGAGAAGAAGGTTAAGAGGTGACTTGATAGAGACATACAAGATGATCAGAGGATTAGATAGGGTGGACAGTGGGAGCCTTTTTCCTCGGATGGTGATGGCTAGCACGAGGGGACATAGCTTGAAATTGAGGGGTGATAGATATAGGACAGATGTCAGAGGTAGGTTCTTTACTCAGAGAGTAGGAAGGGCGTGGAATGCCCTGCCTGCAAAAATAGTAGACTCGCCCACTTTAAATGCATTTAAATGGTCATTGGATAAACATATGGATGATAATGGAATAGTTTAGGTTCGATGGGCTTCAGATTGGTTTCACAGGTCGGCGCAACATCGAGGGCCGAAGGGCCTGTACTGCGCTGTTATGTTCTATGTTCTATGTTCCACTGGATGCACACATCCCAACTTCCATTAACATTGTCATCCAAAGTTTGTCAGCCCTTTATGACCATCATGGTACATCTCTAATCCAACTGTAACATGCTCAGGAAGTACAGACCTGTATTGCCGAGTGCAACAGCAGCTGGCATTGAGAGGCTGCTGCTAGGATGTGTTGCGCTCATGGATGGGACCAGGCTGCATCTCAGGGCTGCTTGCTTACTATCTTAGCGCTCACTCACTTAGCACCTACTTGTATCCTCACAGAATCCATGACTTTCCGTGACGTGCTAATTAGTGCCGTCTCACAACCTGACAGCTGACCTTGCTGGTCAGTAGTTAGCAGTCCTCAATCAAAGATGCATACAATCTTGCTGTACGGTGGTGTGCTACATCAGTCTCATTTGTGCACATGTCAGCATGTTACGTGGCAAACACTGCGTGTGCAGCAGGCAGGCACAGATGTCTCGAAGTCTGAGGGAAGTAGTTTTCTGAGGGAGGTTGCAGTGCGTGATGACAAATGCCCAGGGCTGGTGAGGAAAAGTGGGTTAGGTGAAGGCTTGTGTAACTTTTCAGTGGGAACCTGGGGGAGGTTCAAAGCTTATGGAATTCACAGGAAGGGCTAACAGAAGAATTGGGATGCTCGAGGCCTTGTCGACACAGAAGTGGAAGTCACTATCAACCTATATTGTGTTGGAATTCTAAAGTATGCAATTGGAAGGAAAATAGCTGTGACCACACCTGCAGTAGGTGGGGTAAGTGTCTGGATCTGTGGAGGAGAAAGCTGCAGGACCCACTGATGTAAGGCCCTTTGGAGGGAAACAACATTTCACTGAGGAGTGCACAATACAGGATGAAGACTTGCAGGGATCTGAATTCCTGATGATCTTAATGCTTTGGCTGCCTGTGTGTTGCACATCTTC